TTTTTCGGTACATGAAAGGAGGCAAAAGTCTGAGGTTGTGACATGGTCACATTACGTGGGTAAGATACACCGATAAGATCGTGTTCTAGCCACGGTTTCACTCCCGGTGGTGGTGCATCCAAATATTGGAGACCGCTGGGCCTGGTTGAAGCTAAAGAAGCCAAATAATCAGCTGCGAAATTCGACTCGCGCCAATTATGTAACAAGTGAACCCTCCATTCTCGGTTCATCAGTTCCCGTATCCCTCTGATTAAGCTTCCATGCATCCCCAAACCATCGTGCAGCCCATTGATCATCTGCACGACCCCCTGATTGTCCACTGAGGCAATAACATTAGAGCACCCCAAATTCCAAGCCAGTTGCAGGCCCTGAAAGAGACCCCATAATTCGGCGCCGGCAACTGTTGTGAAGCCGATGTTCATTATAAAGCCACTCACCCATTGGCCACAAGAGTTGCGAATCAAACCGCCAGCACTAGCCATTCCAATCGACATATTAAAGGCCCCATCTTAGTTCATTTTAAACCACCCCTCGGGCGGTGCGAGCCAGCGGATCATGCGATTCTCTCGGGTGACACCACTACTCAAGAATTTTTTCCCATGCAAAATAGCAGCCTTAATCCCCATCACATGCATGTTCACTTCTCGTAAAATCTTGCCCACATGGAATTTTGCTTTTTTAAAGACGTGGCAATTTCACCCATTCCAAATTCTCCACATTGTGACCCCAAAAAAGCTACTCCATTCCACCATTTCATTTGCAGCAACCGAACAAAGGTTATACCCTAGCCACTGTACTAAGTCCAAAGAGAAAAAAGCTGGGAGCATATTACCTGGGATGAGGGTCCTCCAAATTTGGGTCGCCTTCGGACAATCCCGTAGGGTGTGCAATAAAGTTTCTGGGGCGGAACCACACAACTCACATGTAGGCGAGGAAACAAAGTGTCGACGGAATCGTTCAGAATTCGTCATTAAGCAATTTTTTGCCACCAGCCACATAAATTGTCGTATCCTTTGGGGGCCAACCCATTTCCAGATTACTCGCCACAACCAAGAGTCCGTCGTAGTCCCGTCACCGGAAAGGGAATCATAAGCTGATTTTGTCGTGAAACGGCCATTCGCCAAAAAGCCCCAGTACATCAGGTCAGGTTCACTCGAGGCACCCGGCGGCGGCACTGCTGCAATTCGGAGGAGTACGTTGGCCGGCAATAAATGCGAAAAAAGGTTCCAACGCCACTGTCCATCATTGGTGCCATAATTTGATACTGTCCAGTTTATGAAGGGTTGTGGGACGACGCCCGTGCAAACTTGAAGTAATGTTACGTCAAAGTGTAACCAACGGTCCTGCCAGAATTTTATTTGTTTACCGTCTCCGACCGACCACCTTACACCTTTTTGTACAGTATCCCAAATTTTCCCTAAGGCTCGCATAGTAACAGACCCCTTTGGCAAGTTTCCGTTAGCTAATAAGTTCGGGACATTCAATTTGTATTTGGCCCTCAGGGCTCGAACCCATAATGTATCGGGTCTCGTGAGGAGCTGCCAACCCAACTTAATAAGGAGTGCATCGTTCATTTTCCTTTGGCACTTGCGGCCAAGGCCCCCACCATCATTTGGTTTGCATACAATGTCCCACGACACCAAGGAAGTCTTCCGATGTGTTGTAGTCCCTCCCCAAATAAAACGGCGACAATATTTCTCCAGCTCATCCAAGATAGAACGAGGTAACCACACAGTTTGCATCGAGTAGAAAGGCAGAGTGCTGAGGACTGACTGGGTGAGTGTAAGACGTCCCGCGAGTGACAACGAGGACGCTTTCCAACTCGATAAGCGAGCTTCAGCTTTATCAAGGATGCGTTGATACATGTGTTTGGTGACTCTTCCATGAACCAAAGGCATACCAAGATAGAGGCCAAGGTCATCAACTTCCGTGTAAGCCATAGAAGAGGCGAGCGAATGCCTACTAGCCAGAGATACATTAGTCGAGAAGAAGATGCACGTTTTTGCTTCGCTCACCTTTAGTCTCGAGATGCTACAGAACTCATTCAGTACGGATTTCACCAGAACAGCTTGGTCATGGTCGGCTTCAACAAAAAGGAGAAGATCGTCTGCAAATAGAAGATAAGGGACCTCGATCTTCTCGTCTCCTCGCCCCAGCCGAATTGGCCTCCACTATCCTGTTGAAACTCTTGCAGAGATTAAATGGGCTAATCTCTCAATGCACAACACGAATAGGTAAGGAGAGATAGGGTCTCCTTGTCGAACCCCCCGAGAAGGGCAAAACTCTTCCGTAACTACTCCATTGAATAGAAGGTTCATAGAAGTCGAGGTAACGCAAGCCATTACCAACTGGATGTAGTGGGCCGAAAAACCCGCAAGGTACAAGGTTTCTTTCAAAAAATCCCATCGCACGTAATCGTATGCCTTTTCGAGGTCGACCTTCACCACCATGTAGCCCTTTTTCCCCGTTTTCGTTTTCATAGTGTGAATTAATTCCTGAGCCACGATAATGTTGTCGGTGATGTAGCGACCCGGTACGAAGCTCACTTAAGCCGGGCCAATCAAATCTGGCAAGATACCCTTCATCCTATTAGTTAGGATTTTGGTAATTAATTTGTACACCACGTTCAACAAACTGATAGGCCGAAAGCTCTTGATCGTCTCAGGATTTGCCATTTTAGGAATCAGAACAATCAGCGTTTTATTCAAGAAAGTAGGCAAGACACCCTCCAAGAAAAATTGTCGAATTAATGCGCTAACAGAGGGACCCACAACCGACCATTGTTTCTGGAAAAATAGCGCATGGAGCCCGTCCACTCCCGGGGCCTTTAGAGGGTGCATCGTCATTAAGGCGGTAAAAATTTTATTATCGATAATGGGTCGCTCGACTGCGGAGAAGGCAACCTGCTCGACCGCAGGAAATAAATTCGGGATGCTAGTCGCCTCCTCTGATCGGGCCTAGCTGTGTAGATATCCCGAAAATAATCAATGGCCATCCTCTTCAGGTCGGTCGGCTCCGTAAAAACCACTCCATTGGTGTCTTTCAGAAAGATGATTTTATTTCAGCACCGACGATCTTTAACTTGTTGATGATAGAACGACGTGTTTCGGTCACCGAATAAGATCCAATCTCGATTAGATTTCTGCAACCACAATAGTTCCTCTTGTAATAATATTTCTTCGAGTTCATCGTTCAAAGTACTCTCCAAATGAAGAAGCCTGGAGGTGATGTAATTTTGTAGTTCTCGCTGGACCCCTCCAAGACGGCGTAGAAGCTTCTTTTTTTTTTTCTGGAAAATATTACCGAAGACGTCGGTGTTCCAAGTCTTCGCTCGATCGACAAAGGTTGTCGCTGCCTCCTCGTAATTCAAGTTATCATTCCACGCACCTTTGACCACCTCGCTAAACCCTTCATGCAAGAACCAAGCAGCGAGAAAACGAAAAGGCTTTCGTCCTGCTGGTACCCGAGATTGCCCGCCATATCTCAAGACCAGAGGGAAATGGTCTGATCTTCGACGTGGGGGGTGGGTGACGAAGCCATCAGGATGTCTATCTACCCAATGTGCATTGGCCACGAACCTGTCGAGCTTTTCTTGGACATTACCGCGAACCCAGGTATACTGCAGCCCGTCGGTTCGTACTTCATGCATATTATTGTTAAAAAACCATTCTGCGAAGCCTGAGTCAACATTACTACGTCGTGTCGAGCCCCCTAACTTTTCTGACGGTCGGAGCATAGCGTTAAAATCTCCTCCGATGAGCCAAGGAGTGGAAATAGACGACGCTAGGTCCGCAAGTTCTGGCCACAAAGAGCGCCTACCACGGAACTGAGGGCTTGCATATACAAAGGTTACAAGGCACTCATCCCCATCCGTCAGGACTCTAGTATGCACAAATTGACGACGACACACAAGAATCTGCAAGTCCACTCTCTCTTTCCATAAAATCCATATTCCTCCCGAGAAACCTATAGCTTCGACTCTAAAGGAGCGGTCAAAACCACTTCTTCGAATGAAATCATCCTCTTGGCCTCCGCTAATTCGCGGCTCAAACAAAGCAACTACATCAGGGTTTTGAGATTGGATGAGCGATTTAAAAGCTCGACAAAATTTCCTCGAGCCTGCCCCCTGTGTATTCCATGTCAATATAATCATAAAAAGATAGCACATCCAAGAAAGAGAGAGTGCAACTTGTCAGAGCGAGTTAGAGACATCAGTCTCCGTTTGTTCGCTTCCCATCATATCCGCATCCTCTATATTTGGAACCATATTCCCCGCAATCCCTTCCATGGTCGAGGTGTCTACCTGTATGGATGGTCTCTGGCTCAAGGACGTGCCCTCCGCTTCCGTAATCCCATTCGTGTCACTCACGGTTTGAGAGGAGGAGGCTACAAGTGTGGTACTTGGTTATCCAATATGATCACTGCCTTATGTTTATCCTGGTTTAAATCTGTGGGAGCATCGAGAATCCTTATACCCTTTTGGCCCAAAACTGTAGAGGGAAACTGCCCATGGACGGAATTAGCATCAATTTAACTTTGGTTTACTCGAAAAGCATCCTTTGGGCGACTTGTTGGGCCCGTATGAGGGCTCCTATCTTGTTTCTGGCCAACTCCCGGTCCATTCGAAGGTCTAGAAGTCCCGTTGGACTTGAACTGAAAAGGCCCAACATAATCATTTGTTGTGGTATTTGAAACAGTGTTGCGTTTCTGGATAACACTACCCCTCTTTCCGCTTTTAGTGACCATTGTACGATTTTCTATGCTAGTGTGCGACTTTCCTTTCCCCCGGTCTAAGCTACGCCCTTCTCTTCTATCATATTCCGAATTTGAGTGTTGTCCTGCCAAATTAGCCTCCTCCAATTCAGCTGATAACACGTCATAACGCGATCCTCTACCGTGATTCGGGGAATTTTGTTTTGGAAAGCTATCCTGAGTCCCAGATTTTTGGGTATGTGATTGCCGATTGCGAGGTTTTGCCACCATCCACTCTCCGTAGCCCGTTGGTTCCTCCACTACCGTCGGTGTCGGCTTACTTGCCGCTGTTGAACTGGATTCCGGCCGGTCAGGGCAAGTAGAGTGTCCATGGCCATATTTTCCACAGTGAAAGCAAATATCTGGTAGTCTCTCGTACTCCACTCGTTGAACCTTCCCGCGAATAGTGAAGTGATCCCGCAAAGGTTTCGTAAGATCGAGTTGGATAGCTAGGCGGGCAAATTGACCTCTCGTTTGGGACGCGGTTTGATGATCTATCTTCCAGACCTTGCCAACAATTTCACCAATGGTTCTAAAGACCTTTTAGTGATATAGATATACCGGCATCCCTGGCAATTGTATCCATGCCACAATGGACTTAATCTCATCAGATTTTACATCAAAATTTTCTACCCATGGCTGCACATGAAGGTAGTGAGTTCCAATGATCCAAGGGCCACCAGTGAGTGCCTTAATTGCATCCTCTTGTTGAAGAAACCTCAATGAAAAATAGCCATTTTGCATGTCAACCATCATATCGGTGCTACACAGCCCTGGCCACATCGAAGCAAGTCTGTTAAACAAAGCTTGGAGCCCCATGGTTCTACCAAGTAATTTTACGATGACTGCATTTTTCCACGGTTGCACACGCGCCTCATAAAATTTGTCCGACATCTTCAGATCTGGAACAGGGGGATCAAAGTCCACAAAAACGTCTGATACGTCGTTGTCCTCTTCATCATCTGACACCATTTTGACATGTGGCCGGTTCTTGTTCAGGGTGTCTTTGAAGGATGGACGTGGGGCGGACGACTGGCTGGGCGGCTACGGCTGAGCAAAGCTTGGTGGCGTACCTACGGGCTCAGGAAAAACCACGTTTTCCAAATCAGAGCGACGCTTCTTGGACTGGCGGTGGTTAACCAAGGAGGGCGGATTTGCTTTTGTTAGTTCAGGAAAGGCAATGGCAACATCCTTGCTGGGGTCCGGAGGATCTACCTTGGGATCAGTTGGTCGTACAAGGCAATCGTATTTATCTAAGTTTTTGAAAAAAAAATAAAACAATTATTCTTTTCAAAAGATATAGACATGAATAAGAACGAAAATTATTTTATCACGAACTAAAAATCTATGATTGTGGAATTATTAATAAGTACAAAGATTAATGTTTGACCATAAAAAAAAAAATTATTTAACCTATGTCTTACAGTTGTTCGGGGTGATGCAGGGCCGATTGTTTCCGTAAATTAAAATGGTGTTCGGGGTGATGCAGGGCCGAATGTTTCCAAAAAATAAAATGGTGTTTGGGATGATATTGAATTTTGACGTAGGTGAAATGGAGGATGAGAAAGGATGAATGATTAGTGAGTATATATTGATAATAATGGATGAATAGATGGATAACCAAAGAGCATGAATGGTGAAAGGTTTTGAGCGAACAATAAGTGTACGGGCAGACTTT